TATCTCAAAAACCCACAGGAGACCTTTTTTATGTTGAAAAGTGCGAAGAATCAGTTTTTTTATTCAAAAAGCAAAAAATTGCACTAAGAAAATTTTTTCGGTCATTTTAATACACTACAGGTACAGTAGAGAGCGCCCTCTAGCGGCTACAGTAAAACTATGTCCATGGTTCGTTTTGTCGTACCAAAAAACCCTTGTATACCAATTTTCACTGTTATACATCAAATATTGTTCGAAATATTTAAAAAAACTATTTTAGAAAGTAAATTTAAACAACCTGTATTTCGGAAGCCACGCATTTTTCGACCCCTGTTTATGCGTTAATCTTAAAAGTTCTATCGAATCTTAAAGTTATGCAACAATAAACTGAAACACCCTGTACACCCCAGAAAAAAGTGTGCAATATTCTACCAGCGGTTTCTAGAGCTTAAAATAGGAAGAAAAGTTTATATAAACATAGGTCGACAAACGTCCCCTAAGGGCGCTACGGTCTTTTAAAGGGGCTCTCCTGAAGATGGTTCTTCCTTAATATTTCCGAAATGTGTTGAGATAAAGACATAAAATTTGGTATCCTAGCCTAGTTTTTTATGCTGGATTTAAAAATATTAACAATTTTAGACAGTTTTCTTTGGAAGCATATGTAACAGGGACGGACTCAGGTTATTTGAGCCCGAAGATTTTTGTGTGATTCTATTTATGAAATTCAATTTTAGAATTTAAAAATTTAGGGTTTTCTACATAAAAAAGGTACTCTTATTAAATATCGATAAATTGTGCCATTTTTGAATAAAATCAAACTAAAACATTTGTCACATGATAGGAAATGTACTGCGAATTTAAATGAATTGTTGATTATACATAGTTAGCCATGACTGCAAACAAAAGTTGTTTTGATTTGTTATGACTTATCAATTCTCATGGTAGCACTCCACCGATTTGATTCATCTATTTCTTATTGAAATACCCAAGAAGCATGACAAAATATACCTATTATTTATTTCTCATTTTCAAATATCTCGGAATAGTGGTCATAGTTTAAATATGCATCGTGTAAATATGATGAAAATTTCGTTTCATATGAGATCAGAAATTCTACTCACCTGAAAGTAAACTTTAACTATACACAAATTCTATATATTTTTTTTACGAAGTGTAGAACGTAGAGCTGTTATCTCCACCTCGTCCTTAAGGCAGAGTGAACAATTTTTCCAAATCTGCTAATAAAATATCCGCCATTGTGTGATCATTACATCAAGGTACACAGTTACACTATAATTTGAAGTCTCGTTTCTGAAGTAGCAAATCTTCCATATTTTATGAGACAAAAAAACAGGTGTGAGCAAATTGAGGGACAAATTAGAGGTGAATCGCTTGTAATTGCCCACCCTTGACTTGTGAGGATAGATTTTTATTACGAAAATACACAAGCAGAAGTTGTAACCGATACAAATCAGCGTATACAGGATGTTTTGTGGTGCAGAAAATACGAGACGATAGTTACAAGGAGATTAGGTTAACACTGTGGTTTTTATGCAAATAATCCTTCATTTTCGGCAAGAGATAACTTTTTGTGAAAGTTTACGCGCCCGAAAAACATTTTGAAGAGCGGGCGGTAGCAAGCTTTCTCAGGGGAAAGGAAGAAACATCTTACAAATCCTCAAAATTGTAAGCATGCCAAATGTGCAAGTTTTAAGGTCCAGTCGGATTCTTAGAGGGGGGTCACCCAGGTCCCCTCTGCGGCCGCTCATGCTAAGTTGCAAATATACTAAGTGACATATAAATCCGAACACCCAGTTTAAATGGTTTTATTTTAATAAAATTTTCTATAAGTACTTAATGAAGCATAATAAGTAAATGATAAAAATTTCAAAATGATTGCACTGCTTTAAAGCCCTTTGACCTTTAATAATGTGTGGATGCACCCTGATGTGCTACGCATTCTCCAACGCGCCTAGGCATGCTTCTGATCAGGTGGTCAATGTCCTCCTCTGGTATCTCATTACAGGCAACCACCAACTCCTCTCGAAGTGCTTCTAGAGTCTGAGGAGGACGTTGCAAATTGAGCAATCTCCTACCCATGATGTCCCACACGTGCTCAATTGGGGATAAGTCGGGAGATCTTGGTGGCCATGGTAACAATGTGACATCATTATGTTGAAAGAAGTCTATTGTGACTCTTGCAACATGTGGTCGGGCATTATCTTGTTGGAAAGTTGGATCTGCCAGGGTGTCAAGATAGGGTAAAAGATGGGGTTCTTGAACTTCGTGGATATAACGCTGCGCATTCATGTTACCTCTGATGAAGATTAAAGGTGACCTGGAACCATAAGCTATAGCTCCCCAAACCATAACTCCAACAGTGTGATGAACATGTCTTTCAACAAAAAACTGTGGATTCCTCCTTTCACCACGTCGCCTTCTAACCCTGGCACGACCATCGTGCATGCCTAAACAAAATCGAGACTCGTCACTAAAGACAATACTGTTCCATTCCTGATCCCAGAGTGACCGTTGTCTGCACCAATCAAGGCGATTACGTCAGTGTTCTCGAGTTAAAGAGAGGACCCAGTGTGGCCGGTATGAAAACAAGCCAAAACTTCTCATTCGTCGGTAAACACTTCGCATGCCAATAGATCTTCCGTGTTCTGCAAACCATTCATTTGCAATGGACCTGTTAGTAGAGAAACGGTCCCTTAAGGCCAATAATCTTAGGCGGCGATCTTCACGGTCTGTTGTACTACGGCGGCGTCCAGTGCCCCTTGCTCTTTGCGTACGGCCTTCTCGAAGCCATGCCTGACAACACCTAACCACAGTGTCTACACTTCTTTGCACTCTAACTGCAATTGCCGTAAAGAAAGTCCAGCTTCCCGAAGCCCCACTATACGGCCCCTATCAAACTCACTAAGTTGAAGAAATCGTACAGGTCTCCGTACTCTAGGCATCGTAACCGATCGTAAAGGATGTCAAGAACCAAAATCCGCCAACGTTGATTCTTTACTGCGGCTGAAATATTCATTTTTAGAGCGTTAGTGAATTAAAAAAAAGCAGTATAAAAACCGGAATGTCCAACTGATAAGGCTGAAAATTTTTTCACTTGTTATTTACAGTAAGATAAATACATTCACCAACTTTTATTAAAATAAAACCATTTAAACTGGGTGTTCGGATTTATATGTCACTTAGTATATTAGTCAGAGTTATATTTTAAGTTCCTCAAGAAATTAGTAGTTGCTAACATTTTGAAGTATCTTTATATATTGCCACGTTGCAAAACTTCCTTCTACTCAAGTGATATGCTCCCTTAAGGGCCATTCCTCAGGTGATCTTAAACTTCGGTAGTCGGTCGTGGTATACGAGCGATGTCTTTTATGTTTTGCATATACAGGGTGTTTCAGTTTATTGTTGCATAACTTTAAGATTCGATAGAACTTTTAAAATTAATGCATAAAGTCTATATAAACATGGGTCGAAAAATGCGTGGCTTCCGAAATTTACTTTCTAAAATAGTTTTTTTTAAATATTTCGAACAATATTTGATGTATAACAGTGAAAATTGGTGTACAAGTGTTTTTTTGTACGACAAAACGAACCATGGGCATAGTTTTAATGTAGCTGCTAGAGGGCGCTCTCTACTGTACCTGTAGTGTATTAAAATGACCGAAAAATTTTTCTTAGTGCAATTTTTTGCTTTTTGAATAAAAAAAATGATTGGATTTAGGTCAGGGGATCGTGGAGGCCAGGCGACTGGTCCTCCACGGCCGATCCATCTTTCTGGATAATTTTCGTCCAGCCAGTTTCTAACTATTCTCGAATAATGAGCTGGATAACCATCAAGCTGGAACCAGGACAATCTTCTTAAATCTAACATAACATCATCCCACATATTTGCATGTTCAGCCTTTAAAAATTCCAAGAAGGTCGCAGCATTTAACCTTGCAGGCAAAAGGTAGGGTCCAAATAGACGATTACGGTAGATACCAATCCACACGTTGACACTAAATTCGTGCTGAAAATTTCTTTCTCGAACTGCATGCGGATTTTCATGAGACCAAATATGTTGATTATGAAAATTTACCACTCCACGTCTAGTGAAGCATGACTCATCGGTCCATAAAACGTTACTTGAAAACTCCCTATTATAATCAGTTCTATCAACAATCCACTGACAAAATGTGATTCTTCGTTCTCCGTCCCCTGGCTATAGTCCTTGCACAGGTTGCAAATGGTAAGGACGTCTATGGTCATTTCTAAGAACACGGTAAACATGGCTTGCTGAAATTCCCAAGGCACCAGAAACTCTCCTAACACTTGTGGTCGGATCTCTGTCAAACTCACGCAGAATCATACGGGTAAATCTGCGCTGACGAACATTTATGTTTTGATCCCTTTGGAGATTTCCAAAACCATTTTCAATTATTTGGCGATGCACTCTTACAAATACTGAGGGAGTTGGATGTCGTCTGTTTGGAAATCTTCGTGCGTATTCTCTGGCTGCTTCTACTGCGTTTCCATTTACAAAGCCATACACAAAATGAATATCCGCTAACTCTTGATTGGAGAATAAAAATGGCATTTTTTTAAAACTTACAAAAAAAATAGGTAAAAGAAACTAAATTTCGTGCATTCACAATTGCAAAAAACGTTTCAGGTTTCAACAGACAACGAAACTAACTGTCAACTAATTGACGTTTAACCTTATTCTACTTTCAATTTCAAAAATATTTGCAGGCACAGCCTACTTCTAAAAATTATCGAGATACTGACTTTTTAACGTTATTTTATCATAAATAGTTAAAAATGCATCGAACCTTGAAAATCGAAATATCTTAAAAACGGCTAATTATAACGAAAATTCACAAGAGAGCTTTTTTATGTTGAAAAGTGCGAAGAATCAGTTTTTTTATTCAAAAAGCAAAAAATTGCACTAAGAAAAAGTTTTGGGTCATTTTAATACACTACAGGTACAGTAGAGAGCGCCCTCTAGCGGCTACATTAAAACTATGCCCATGGTTCGTTTTGTCTTACAAAAAAACCCTTGTACACCAATTTTCACTTTTATACATCAAATATTGTTCGAAATATTTAAAAAAAACTATTTTAGAAAGTAAATTTAAACACCCTGTATTTCGGAAGCCACGCATTTTTCAACCCATGTTTATATCGACTTTATGCATTAATTTTAAAAGTTCTATCGAATCTTAAAGTTATGCAACAATAAACTGAAACACCCTGTAGAAACATAGTAGACCGCGCGGATCGAACGTCAGTACTGAATCTTAACTTCACTCTTTAGTAAACTTACATCAGTCGACAATTTCCCGTTGATATGGAGAAATCAAACCTGGACGGGTGAGTCTTAGCGACGATCCCAGGGTGGGTGCAGGAAAACGTCGATGCTGTGCGCAAACTCATCATTGAAGATAAACATGTGACATATCGCGAGGTTGTGGCGTCCTTGAAGATCTCAAAGACCTCAATTCAAAAAGTTTACATGAAGAATTAGGAATAAGAAAATTAGCTTCTCGTTGGATACCCCAGCTGTTGACTGAAGAGCAGAAAGCAGCCAGGGTTAATTGGTGTCAAAAAACGCTTGAACGTTTCAATTCCGGAAACTCAAAAAATGTGTACAGCATTGTTAGTGGTGATGAATCGTGGATTTACTGTTACGAATCAGAAAATAAACGACAGTCGGCTGTTTGGGTGTTCCAAGGTGAAGAAAAGCCAACAAAAGTCATCCGTTCTCGAAGTGTTTCGGAAAAGATGGTCGCGACATTTGGTCATATTGCAACAATTCCTCTTAATGGGCAAAGAACTGTTACTGCGGATTGGTATACCACCATTTGTTTGCCAAAAGCCATCACCGAGCTTCGAAAAATCAACCCCGAAAGAAGAATCATCCTACACCAAGACAATGCAAGCTCGCACACAGCCCAAAAAACAAGGCAGTATTTAACGGAAGAAAACGTGGAATTATTGGACCATCCTCCATATAGTCCCGATCTAAGTCCTAACGATTTCTTTACTTTCCCGAAAATTAAAAACAGTCTGCGTGGTTGAAGGTTCCAGTCACCAGAAGAAGCAGTTGACGCATTCAAATATGCCGTTTTTTATCTGCCAGCAAACGAGTTTAATAAGTGCTTCGAAAATTGGTTCAAGCGCATGCAGATATGTATTAATATTCGTGGAGAATACTTCGGAAAACAATAAAGTCGTTTAAAACTACCTACCGTGTTGCTTTATTTCCAAATGCAAAACTTCCCTCGTACTAATTTTGATCACCGCCAATTCATACTTCCTTCAGGTAAAGCACATTATGTTTCTTATCCATGCACTGCAATTTTCTCAATTTCATTGTTCATTTTATTCCCTGCATTAAGACGACAAAAATCGATATAAGTGGGAAAAATATGTTCGATTTATTAAAAATCTCCTCCCCTAGAACAAATTTATTGAAAATCGATTGTTATGATTGAAAAATCGATTATAAGGATAAAGTATCCGATTAATCGGTTTTTGATTCAAAATTTCCTACCTTCAAGGAAAGATTCCAATAGTTTTAAAAGCCAAAAAGAAAAGCCCTTTCGGATTAGTTTATACAGAAGCTCCAGATGCAGCAGGCCTTGACTTTTATTGAGGGTGAATCCACTGGTTACTCGCTCTATCAGACTAATCGCCTGTACGTGATGACTACAGTATTAATCAGGTCAGATTAGAAAGGAGTAACAGTTATAAAGACTCAGGTATTACATTTGATACCAAGTTCTCTTTTAGTGATCAGATAACATTATATCGTCTGCTTCACGAATGCTAAGTAGTCATATTAGACGAAAATACTCCTGATTTGCAAAATAATTGTCTGGTTTTATTGCTGCAAGTTGTTCAAGGGGGTATTCAAAACATCGACGCATAAAATGGGTGCACCAATTTTTGTGGGAAAACTTTTTATTTGACAACAAAGAATGAGGACACGTGTTTTCTTTTTTCGGGATTCAATCGAAAGTTTTGGCAGGAACGAAATAACTCTACATATGGGATTTTTGGGTATTAATGAGACCTACAAAATGAGATCACACGTAAAAAGATCCGACTTATAACAAAAAGGTTATGACCCAAAAACCGAGGCAAACTGCACTTGTTGGTAATGCGACGATTCTTCAGATTCGTAGGATTCGTACTTTTACATAACAACAACTAAATTGGAGTAGATTGGTCAAGCAGTTTTTGAGAATTTCCAATTGTTTATCCCAAAACACCTGTTTTCCGGCCATCACTAGTTTACTCCACAATAAGATTTATTGTCTATATACATATTTTAAGTATACTAAGTGGCATATAAATCCGAACACCCAGTTTAAATGGTTTTATTTTAATAAAATTTTGTATAAGTACTTAATGAAGCATAATAAGTAAATGATAAAAATTTCAAAATGATTGCACTGCTTTAAAGCCCTTTGACCTTTAATAATGTGTGGATGCACCCTGATGTGCTACGCATTCTCCAACGCGCCTAGGCATGCTTCTGATGAGGTGGTCAATGTCCTCCTGTGGTATCTCATTCCAGGCAACCACCAACTCCTCTTGAAGTGCTTCTAGAGTCTGAGGAGGACGTTGCAAATTGAGCAATCTCCTACCCATCATATCCCACAGTCCCACACGTGCTCAATTGGGGATAAGTCGGGAGATCTTGGTGATCATGGTAACAATGTGACATCATTATGTTGAAAGAAGTCTATTGTGACTCTTGCAACATGTGGTCGGGCATTATCTTGTTGGAAAGTTGGATCTGCCAGGGTGTCAAGATAGGGTAAAAGATGGGGTTCTAGAACTTCGTGGATATAACGCTGCGCGTTCATGTTACCTCTGAAGATTAAAGGTGACCTGGAACCATAAGCTATAGCACCCAAAACCATAACTCCAACAGTGTGATGAACATGTCTTTCAACAAAAAACTGTGGATTCCTCCTTTCACCACGTCGCCTTCTAACCCTGGCACGACCATCGTGCATGCCTAAACAAAATCGAGACTCGTCACTAAAGACAATACTGTTCCATTCCTGATCCCAGAGTGACCGTTGTCTGCACCACTCAAGGCGATTACGTCGGTGTTCTCGAGTTAAAGGGAGGACCCAGTGTGGCCGGTATGAAAACAAGCCAAAACTTCTCATTCGTCGGTAAACACTTCGCATGCCAATAGGTCTTCCGTGTTCTGCAAACCATTCATTTGCAATGGACCTGGTAGTGGAGAAACGGTCCCTTAAGGCCAATAATTTTAGGCGTCGATATTCACGGTCTGTAGTTCTACGGCGGCGTCCAGTGCCCCTTGCTCTTTGCGTACGGCCTTCTCGAAGCCATGCCTGACAACACCTAACCACAGTGTCTACACTTCTTTGCACTCTAACTGCAATTGCCCGAAAAGAAAGTCCAGCTTCCCGAAGTCCCACTATACGGCCCCTATCAAACTCACTAAGTTGACGAAATCGTACAGGTCTCCGTACTCTAGGCATCGTAACCGATCGCAAAGGATGTCAAGAACCAAAATCCGCCAACGTTGATTCTTTACTGCGGCTGAAATATTCATTTTTAGAGCGTTAGTGAATTAAAAAAAAGCACTATAAAAACCGGAATGTCCAACTGATAAGGCTGAACATTTTTTCACTTGTTATTTACAGTAAGATAAATACATTCACCAACTTTTATTAAAATAAAACCATTTAAACTGGGTGTTCGGATTTATATGTCACTTAGTATATATAGGTTTTAATGATTTCCTGGTTTATTGTATTACATTCCACTGTGATTTCTGACACACCAATATTTTGTACAAGTCCTCCGTTCAGAGGATGACATACTTAATGACACTAGATTATTGTTAATTATTTACTTGGATCTTGTTATACTTATCTATGCATTTGTTTACCGTGCTTTGATGATATTTATTGATATTTCCTGCAATTGGATATACGTGCCTGTTGGAAATAAACTTATTATTATTATTATTAGTATTATTATGCTCAGGCCGAAAGCAGAATTGCAGGAATCAACTAATTATGACCACCAAAGTTGACGAAGTGCGCAGTAAGAATTCATACTTCCTTCAGGTAATGCACGTCATTATTTTATTCCTTCATCGCAATTTTCACAATTTCATTGTATATTTCATTCCCTGCTGATGGTTTGGAAAAACATACAGTACGAGACCATTGTTTTGCACGACTGAAAAATAATTGGATATGTAGATATACAGGGTGTTTCACAACTTATCCGACAAATTTTAACCACATATGCACTGTTACGAAATAAGTTGATTACTAAAAAAAAAGAAATGTAATAAAAGTTCTACAGAAATTAAGTTATGAACCTGAGCTTCAATAATAAATTGAAAAATAAATATCTGTATTTTGCGTTCATCGTCGTGATATTAGAACACGCATTAATAATTTATTGTAACAAGTGTTGTACCAAACAACTGACGAAAACCAGATATCAGGATTTTTTTTCGTTTTTTCATACTGATAAAAACGTGTAAATAAGGCTTAATCTGTATCGTGGGTGATCTGAATTGGGAACGGTCGATTTTTGTGAATTTAAATACGGAAGTATTTTGCGAATTTATGTTTTTAGCTATTTATTAATAAAAATGGCACATGTGTACACTAATGAGGAGTCAGTGGACATTGTTTTAGCGTACGGAGAAGTAGGGCAAAATTCGCGAGCGGCTTCTCGGTTGTATGCACGCCGATTTCCGAATATGCACATACCACATCACGAATCATTTAGTTCAATTGTTTTACGTGCACGTGCTGGTGGAGATTAGAAGCGCCCAAGCTTGCATTGCAGTCAATGGAAACAATTTTGAACAGCTTTTATAATTAAGTAAACTGTTAAACATTATTATTTTATTATCTCGCTTTCTGTAGGATTTTTACTATATTTCTTTTTATTGAGAAATCAACTTCCGTAACAGTGCATATGTGGTTGAAATTTGTCGGATAAGTTGTGAAACCTCCTGTATAAGATCAATATATGTTAAAAGATTACCATGAAAAACAAGTTCATATCAACTTTCAGCAGTTTCCCAGCTTTAACTTCAAGAGGCTTCTGAGCTCCTGATAGCGCTATTAAAACGTCTTTCGCCGTGGACAGGTGATTCTGCCACTCGCTGAAATATATGCTGTTCGGAACTTCATCTGCCTTGAACAAATTGAAATATCGTAATTTATAACTAGCCTAGGGATCGCAATTTCGCAGCTCGTTCAATTTCCCAGGATTTATATAGTCAACGCCAAACAAAGTGGCGTGCACGTCATCAAGGTGGGTGTGTTGAAAAATTTACATTGTTGCCAAACTTTTTATAAAATAATAAAATTTATTATTTACATATCTAGGTTTATAAGCAATATTAACCTCAAATGAGAACAAAAATAATAGTATAATAAAATTATAGATCTGTACTTGCATAATCATTAAGTATGACAATTATTGATCAGATGACACTATGAAACTACCATATTTAATTGATAGCTTAAAGGTACTGAATAAAAATCCAAATGGGGTCCTCCAAATTTTATGCATGGTATTTATTTTACAGAATTCATACAGAAAAATGCATTCTAAAATTAGGTAAGCTACTGGTGTAAGCTTTTTCTGTACAATAAAGTTAGTCGGAGTTTCTTTCTTCAGCGCTGTCTGAATCTGAATCTTCATCACTCTCAAAGTTGATTATTAAAGGTTCGATGTCTGGTCGATCAAAAATTCGTTCTCTTTCATACCATTTAAAAATTTCTTGCTCAGTATGTCGAACACTATTTTTCTACATGTCTGGGGTAACCGTTTGTAGAGCCTCGTTCCACATATCCAAACAGTCTTTTTCACTGTTACCATCTCTACCAATATGTCTGTTATAGTAACATTTTGCTATGCCCCAAATTAACTCAATAGGGTTAAATATACAATGGTAAGGAGGCAGATGAAGAACTTTGTGCCCATGTTGTTCCGCCAATTCATCAATCACGTATATTTTAGGTGGTTTGTTTCTAAAAAAGCAGTTATTTTAAGAATAGGAATAAACAAAAGAAATATAAACTGTCGACCAAAATATATATAATTAAGAAGCATTATGTACCGAGCAACAATACTCAATAGCTCTGTTTTAAACATTGTGTTTAAAAATGGTATGTTTTGATTTGTCAACCAGTCTTGGATATTTT